AAAAACATTATCGACAGCCACACTCCAAAAGTCTGTACGTATAATTTCATTAGAACGTTCGGTTTTGAGCTTTTCTGATCAATCTCTATCTGGTTTATATTCAGAAACACAAACCAAAACGTTATTTAAAATATTACATATGTTTCTTAAGCGTGAAATAAAAATTAACCGAAAATACAGTTCATAAATTCAGAAGTAAGCGGTTCATTTCTTCTTGTGATTAATTTTAGTTTTTGCGCTTAGAGTTTCGAGTTCAACGGTTCATTATTGAAATTAATATACCAAAAATTGACCAGATTGCAATACTTCCCTTATCTACAGAAAGGAAAGTAAAAAAAAAAAAAAAAGGTAATATATTTAATATAAAACGTGATGATAGCTTCTGGAGTAACTACCCTGAGTAACTTTACTACACGTCAGTAGACTAATATCCTCTGTTTGTGTCGTTTCTGATTACTGGACCAGAGGGACTGCATTCTTCGTTTGTACATCTACCCTCACAAAGTCCACAACTAATTCCATACATTTACGGTGAAATTGTGGGTTCGGATATTCTATTCTTCGCCACATATCTTTTAGTAGAGATCTGGTACGTGTAACCAATTGATTTACCCATAAGAAAGCCGCACAGATAAAACTCCAGAAGATTTTAAGCCACGGAAAGCAGATGATTACAGAACACAAAATAATGAATCGTATAAGTATTGGTAGCGAAAATATCCCGTGATATTTATTAAATTTGTTACTTCTATTCTCTTTGTGAACGCGATAAATTATTGATATGGACCAGCTCCGCCATATTAGGGATATTCATGCACTAATTATAAATACTAAGCAGTCAGCACTAATTTTGAATGAATGGTAAGGTTATGTCTGCACTGTAAATAAAGTTTATGAGTTATTAATTGATTTACTAACGTTTTAATTTATTTTTAAAATGCCAATGCGAAGTGAAAAGACTGAATTATTAGATTGTTTGGTTAAAATGCTTTATTAGAAAGAATGAATGAAGATTCAATTTTTGTGGATATTTTATACATAAGAAACAAAGAACCAAAAACATCAAAACCTTACAACAACCTCCTCCGTGTATTTACAAAGTTAGCAACACTCTACAGGACCCTAGGCTGCGTTAAAATCGAAATTGTTAGCAGCCATATTTAGCATATACTTCAGAAATAATTTTCTCAACTTTACACATTTTTATTTATTTTATAAATGTTTTGGGCGCTTCAACCACCTGCGTCATTTTCATCCTATAGTATTAGTACTACATAGGCATACATAACAATTTTACATCTAACAAATACAATTTAAAGTTTAGAAAGTTAAAAATAGTTACAGGTGAACATGATAGTACAATTGAAAGTTAAAGATTAAAGGAGATAATTTAACAAAGACAATTAAAACAAAGGTTAATGATTTAAGAACAAAAGCTAAAGTATGTTTTTAAAAAGTAAAAATTAGTATTAATAGAAGAGAAGTTAAAAATACAGTTTAAATATTAAAAAGTACAAGAAGAAAAGTTGAAAAATTATTATTATTAAAAATTAAGATTAAAAGAAGAAAAATTAACAGGTATATTTACAATTTGAAGAGAAACCTACAAACTTAAAAACTTGACAGGTACCTACCTATATTTACAATTACAGAATGTGATTAAATTTTGTACAAATTTGTAGATGTGATTACAATTTGGTGATTAAATTTTGTGAAATATTTTGGTTTCTTTGAGCAAAAATATTAAGTTTTAATGGCATTGGGGTTCTTTTGGAGTGATTCTTCAAGGCTATTTCTGAAAAGATGTTGATCCCTAAGAGATTGGAATGCATAACACTTTGCACTTTAAGAGATTTACAGTATTTAGCACTAGTTGGATGAATACCCTCATTGTTTCCTTCTTTCATGCTTGAAGAGCATCACTCTGATGTCAATCTGCCATAGTTCCTCAGGAGCATATTTTTATCTTGGAAGTATTGATGCTTTCTGCAAGAGGTTGTTCTACTTTCATTATTGACTTCATGTATTTAGGTTTGAAATAATTTCTTCCATTATTTGTCTTCTGGTATAATTTCATTGCCGTGTTTCAGCACATTGGCTACATAATAGAGAAAAATAACGATTTGTCACTCAGCTAGCAAGTGGATTCTGTATGCTTGTTGGTGTGTTCTATTTAGACTTTGTCACGAAATACTTTATGTAAAGTTCTGTTGCACCGTGATCATATGAAATGTTACCGCTAATAGGATAAAAACTTTCAAAGATGTGACAAATATTCTAAGACGATGGAACAGAAAAAATCAAAGGGTGTAGAATATAAGTGAACGTAACTGAAGTTGTATCTCAGCATCGTATAATATTCTTGATTTAGATAAAGTCAGAATAAAATAAATAGGAAATCTACAGGTTGATATCATGGAGTTGGGTTAAAATTTAGATTGGAGGGTAGTTTCTGATCTTGAATAAATGGTAATTGACGGTGTCCGATATAGTGACATATCGAGAAGAGTTAAGTGATAATGACACGATTGCAAGCTCATTTTAAAATAATTTATCTTTATATCATTCTCTCGCATAGAAATCGAAATCATAGATTTTTTTCTTAATATTTTGACATAAGCGAACCAGTTTATTTTATATTTATAAATGCAACCGCATGCATCAGAATATCGTTAAGGCCTCGACTACGAGTTCCTTAATGCGGTATCCAGGTCCTTGGAGAGTGAAAACAGGGCGATAAGTTTGGCGAAGAGCCGCGGACTGCGCTGGCTCGTCCTTACTATTTCATACACTTTACTGAAGGCTCACAGGCACTAGGATTCTATTTACTGCTCTCCGCTCTGCCTACAACACACTTCCATTACAGCTTACCGGCAACTTACTTCATTAAGGACTCTTTACAGTTGTAATAATATTATACAGGATAGTTCAGAAAAATGTTTCACATCACAAAACTGTCTGGACGTTCCATTACGATAATGCAAAAGTGTTTAAGAGCTTTTTAGCCCGGATTAGTCTGATATCAGTATGACTATTCAGGTGTTAAAAAACTAATTTATTTCTTCTGCCTCAGCAAAAATAACGTGGCTTCAGCCTCCTTTCTTTTTTTTATTTTGTAAATCGTTATTGCTGTAAGAGTTCAATCACGCAGGATATCACCTATTTATTTTAATTTGAAACGAAAATTTCGACGAGGAAATCAAAATTCCATAAGTACTGGCGGCTGCGTTTTAAAGCATTTATTGTATATACTTTTTGAAGTGAAAACTTCAACGTCAAAAAACCACAAAAGGCGCGTTTTGCACTTTTTTGTGGAGAGTGAATTAGATTGAGCCGTCAGATTTCTGATGTGTAACACTCCGGTATTGTCCACTGAAGTCGACTAATTGAAGTATTTTTGCCCAGAAACTAAAAATCGGACCTGCATACTATGAGCGAAGGAAATGCGATAAAAATGAGGAAAAGTTCATCCTGTTTGTGATGAACTATTGTCTAAAATTGTATTGCGATGTGACGGCGTATTAGAGAGCCAAAAGGGAAAATATAGTAGGGATAGTCATGCTCATATTGAAAACTCTTACTGTGCTATTGTGTTAAAACGTTATTAGCTGTAGTAAGGTTATGCTTGACCTGTAAACAAAGTTTGAGAGTTCTTAATTAATAAATAAATTAATTAATTAAAAGGTCAAAGCGGAATGAAAAGACCGAGTTACTGAATTATTTGGTTAAAAATGTTTTATTAGAAAACATGAATGAAGATTCATAAGGTAAAGAACTTGATGAATATATAGATGAAGTCATAGTATCTTTACACTCCATTTCTTTGGATATTGTACACATAAAAAACAAAGAATCAAACACATCCAAACCTTCTTCGTGCGTTCACGAAGTTAACAAAAATTTACAGTACCCTAGGCTGTGTTAAAATCGAAAGTGTTAGCGGCTATATTTAACACCTATTTCATAAATAAATTTCTCGACTTTACATGAATACCCATAGTGTCAAAAACCAAATCATAACGAATTCTATACTAAATATTGTCATTTTAAATATGATGAATCATACTAAAATAATCAGAATATAGGATATTTTTTTATTACTTCTTGAATATAGAAAAAAAAATTATATTTCATATTATTAAGTTCGTCTAGTTGAAGTTTTCACTTCTATCTTATGGTCTGAAGCACACACCGTAAATTATTTTATTATTATTTAGTTGTTATTTTTCTTCTGTTTGTTTAATATGATAGAATATTAAATTATCCAATGAATAAATTTAAAAAAAATATACTATTATTATAATACATAATATACGTACATAATATATTTCAATGTCTTCCTTCCACTAGATTAAATTAAATGAAGAGAAGAATAGTTAGTGTGATCAGTCAGAAGTAAGAAGGCAAAAATAAATAATAAAATTTATTTTAAATTTGCCGACGTTTCGACCTGAAGTTCAGGCCTTCATTAGGGATCTTCCAACGGCTTGCTCGAGTTGACTCTATTTCAGCAAGCCCTTGGAAGAGCCCTGATGAAGGCCTGAACTTAAGGTCGAAACGTCGGCAAATGTTAAAATAAATATTATTATTTATTTTTGCCTTCTTATTTCTGAATGATCACCCCAACTATTCTTCTCTTCATTATTCACGACAGTCAACCATTAACCCACAATTATTAATATTATGATTAAATGATATATTTGTTTTAAAACCTGGTTGATCAAGGTGCCAATTAAAGGTTGATTAATACTGCGTCATTGTGGATAATGGTGATTTCAAATAAATTTTCTTAAAACTCGATAAATGTTTCCTACCACCGTCATCCACTAGACCCTTTATATGTATCCTTAGCGATGCCAATGTGTCGCTCTTGCTAGGATTCTATGTCTTCCGACATGCAGAAATATTGTGATATAAGTCTCGCAAGCGTAGCAGCTACGGGTCGCTTTGCAGACGTGACGTACCTTAGGAGTCGGTGGACGAAGGATATACACCGATAGCTACCTTATGAATAAATAGCAGGAGCTGGTTGCGTGCGGACGACATCGCTCCCAGGGGTCGATAAGGGCTGCGTGCTCTGGGATATGTATCTGCCGGGGTTTATTGCCGTTCTCTCTATGTAAAGTGGGGGTGGTCTCACACCCACTCTTCCATTGTTTTAATGTCACAGCCCGACCCAATTCGACCTTTAAGTCGTCTAGAAATTCAAAACCTTGCATCGAAATCAACTTGGCCAGGGGCATGCTCAGGCTCAGGTCAGTCTCCTTTGTCACAGATACACGGAGTGGGTTTGATGTATTACTCGTTTAAACTAGCATTATTTTGAATATAAAAGTTTTCTTCAGCACAAACTTTACTACGTTAATAGTAGTTAATAACAGGCCCATTTTGATCAAATTATTGACCTCTAAAACCTCGTGAATGGACTCATCTTATCGTAAGTTACAACTTCTTTATTTTATGAAAATTCTCGGAAATGGGGCGTTTTTAATCTGGATATCAGTGAATTGAATCAGAAATGCTTAAATATGTATAAATTATAAATTTCCAAAATACAAAGAACATTTATACGGCATGATTACTCGTCTGCCGGAAATGTTATATGTTTTACATGTATGGTACAAACAAAGACCTTATAACTGTATATACATGAATGACTAATAAATAATAAAACAACTAACACAATATAAAATAATAAATATTTTGAATAATTTAAGTCTAAGAAACAATAATAACGGAAAATAATGGAAATAATAAACAATAACAATGACCACAAATAAATTAGACGGATCATTGTTAATGCTGGATGTAGCAAATTAAAACGGTGTTCCCACGCATGTCGAGCAAAACCGATAATTTTACGGCATTCGTTCACAGAGGGGGCATTTAGAAGGGAAATGAGGATATCATTTGGGTCCGGGCTAGTTCCAAGAAATTCGATACGAATTTGACCAAGCATTGAACACTCAGCCAGAAAATGGAACAGGTCCTCCTTTACAGGTAGGTTACAGAGTGGACAATCCGTATATTCCCTGTCAAGCCACGGGATGTAATTCAAATAAAGGAGTTCATACCTGAGGTTGAACAACCAACTCAACTCGCACACTATCAAATCTCAACAGCAGCCAACTACGAATTTCAAAATTTTAAGATCGTGACTCAATTCCCTATATAATAGAAATTGATCAGAATTCAATGCAGCTAATTTACACTGCTCCCAACATTGATGAGTGATTGCAGACCGTATTGTTTCCAACTGGTCTTTTCATAACAAAAAACATTCCAAAGACCTGCAAGAGTATCTTTCCGCCAAATTACACCAATTTTTAAACCAAAAGGCATTACTTTTAATCACTCCAATGGCGATAACTCTGGAGAGACGACTTTCAGGCAGGCACAGTAACATAAGACAATACTTAAAATGCAACCGTAAAGTGAATATCTCGAGTGGATTTGTGGCTGTTTCTAAATACTTCATATATTTTGGTGTCGTTGAAGGCAACGAAAACAATTTCTTAATGAAAATTCTCCGAAACTTTTCCAATATGTCATATCCCTGAAAACCCAAAATTGAGCCGCATAACATACCATGGAGCGTAATATCGCATCAAATATTTGTTTTTTGGCGAATATTGGGATCAGATCTTGAGCAATGAAACTTGACCAATTCCTATTAAGACCCATTTTTGCAGCCGATGTACGATCTTTCAAATGGTAAGTAAATGAAAGACTGGAGCTTACCGTGACACTCAAATATTTATAAGTATTGACTACTTCTATTGGTAAACCTTTAAATCGCCATTTATATCTGGATATCAGTGAACTTTGTCTATTTAATGAGGTAAATAAATAAACGGATAAACATCCAATAGCTTTTCACTTGAATCGTAAGATAATTTGATCATAAAATCATGAAAAAAGGTGATCTACAAAAATATTGGGCCGTTTGTCGTGACCTCGATCTTTAGCATATCAAAATAACGAGGTTATGTATACCCAATATTTTTGTATGCCTTTTTTTCCCATTAGCTTTTACTACCTCATTAAATTAATGAAAAACGCTCCATTTCAAAACTTGTAGGCTATGATAAATTGAGCTTTCGGTAGATGTTAATAATTTGATTAATAGTCTCTACTCTTAGGTTGGTCCCAAAACTTCTAGTTACTTTGGTTTTTGGTATATTAATCGTCTTTTGTTTTTGATGATTATATAAACATGTTTAGGCTCTCTATTATTACCAGATTATTTTTACCCAATTTTACTTTCTATAACATTTTCGTTGATTTAGATTTCAACTGAACATAGCTCATTCATCATGAATAATAAAGTAGCAATCAACACACCTAAAAATGTTGAGTTTAAAACTCGAAATCAATTTGGTATCGTTGGAAAAAAATAAGAATCTATACTAAACATACGTTTAATTTTTATAGTTTTTTTTCTTTTACTTTTTAACCAATGGTTTTGTTTTACGGTGGTCTTCTTAATGTATGAAAATAAGTTATTACATATTTTGAAAATATAAATCAATTTTTTTTGGGGGTCTTGATGATTTGGATTAAGGTTGGAAATAAATAAGATAATATCTAAGCTATCTTAACCTATTTGGGTGTAGTTTATAATGTCATATCAAAGATTAAAAAACAAATGTTTGATTTTTGTTAGACTGTTTTTGATTTTCTCAGTGTTCTTGTATGTTTGTTGAAAAAAATGTTTGATGATGATATCAAAACTGTTGGTTGACTTGAAAATGTATTGCCAGAAATGAACTTAAGTAATAACAACGAAAATGAACGAAGTAATTAGCTAATTAACACCTTAGTGAAACAGTACTACCTTTAATGGAATTTTATGGGTTATCATGCATTAAATATTAATCCGTGGTACAGACCCCTTTTTATGGAATTATTAACGAAAACTTCGTAAATAATTTCATCTCATCGTAACCTACAACTATTTAACTCTTGGAATTAGGGAGTTTTCAATCTGGGGGGAGGAGGGGGAGCAAACTTTGTATATTTTATTAGGTTCTAAAAACAACTGATCACAAAATCGATAACAAAGTTGGCCTACAAAAATATTGGGCCGTTTGAAAATACCTCGTTATTTTGAAAATTTGGAAGTGTAGGTCACGCCAAACCGGTTTTGAAGGACACCTCTTTTCTCGATTACCGTAAATAAAATAGTTGTAGGTTACTATGAGACGGAATTATTTATGAAGTTTCGGGCGGATGTTAACAATTCGATAAAAAGGGGTATGTACCACGGACTATATGACTGCACTGGTAACCAAGCTGTTTCTGACTAATGAGTAGGAATATTTTGCAAATGCTTGCAACCCATCGTGAAAACATGACGCGGTCCCATCGGTTGTTGAGCAATAGGACGTGCTCCCAGGACATCCTTGGCGGGCCGAACCTTTCTTTTCGTCCAATTATTTCCGACGCCCATCTTATACAAGAGGGACCCAATAATGGCGCCTTAATGGCCTGTATTATTATAATTTAAACATTGACCCATCTCCTCGTTAAGATGCGGGGTCTTCCCTGACGCCAACGTCCCCTCTTTCACTCGATTACATTAAATGCCATTCGACGTCGTTGTGAATCGATGGCATCTCATTGACATTATTTTCATTCGGTGTCAGAACCTTTCAAAAGTTCGAGTTCTCAACATCAAGTGTCATACCAATTCTCTATATCTTTCCCCAATTATCCATAAAGTATTTTTCGAAAATCTTTTGTTATTATCGTTTTTCAGCACCAATCAGATCATGTCAGAGCACATTGTTTTTTAACGCTGAAAAATCGATTTGTTAATTTTCGTCAAATAGAATATCTTTAGAGGGAAGCCTTCAACTTTGACAATCACACTCCATGTGGAAAAACATGAGAAGACTTGTTCATTTGGCTTTATAGTGTTCAAATTTCGGGACAATAAGATTTAATAAAATATGTTTTTTACCCATGAAATACCAATTTATTTTAATTATAATTTATAAATTTATAATTATTTATAAATTTATAATTTAATAAATAATAAATTTAATAAATAATAAATAATAAATAAATAATAAATAATAAATAATAAATAATAAATTTATAAATTTATAATTTATAAATTGTTTTGTTTAAAGCATTAAAAAAAAGATATTTTAAAAAAAGAGTTTATGGCTATACAGTGATGTGTTTTTTCTACATGTCCATCATTTGTAACGTAAAGCTTTAAACTATGATAAAGAGTAGGTGCAATTTTTATATTAATCTCAATTTCTCTGTGGTATTTTTTTCTCACTGTTTTCTATATCTTTTACCATGTTCATTTCATCAAAGATTTTTGCTTTTTGATATTGGATAGTTTTAAAAATATATAATGTTTTGAGGTATCCGATGTTTTTATATACTACAATTTTTGTAGGAAGGATTTTCCTAGGATTTGTTATGAGATAATACTCAACGTGGCCAGGTCGGATTCAAAGCGATGTTCTACTCTGGTTCCTTTTTTCGAATTACAAACGATTCCGAAGAAGATTCTGACTGAGATCCTGCATGGAGCACGACATGTCGGAAGTCCTAAGCTACGATGGAGAGACTATGAGGGCAACGATGCCAAGAGACTTGGAGTAATTAATTTTGTAGTGACAGAAGAAAATAGGGAGCCCTTACGTTACAGTTTGCAGTTAACGCTCGGTAGATACCCTTTTTGTTGTACCTGTATTCAGATATTTTAAATTTTCATATAGACATATTTCTCCTAATATTATAATCCTTCAATCAACACCTTTACTGCACCCAATAATTTCTTTTCATTTATAATAAATTATTTGGAATCCTTATTTGTTATCAGCATCTTCCAGTTATTGCATTTCAGGTAAAGATTTCTGCACCTTTGTCGGTCAAGATTAAATCCTCAGTGTAGTCAAAAAAGTGAATCGCCTACCGTTAGATAATTTATACTATGCGTATTTCATAACATATTCCACTTCTGAATTATGAAAAGAGAAAATGCCTAACAAAATCGTTCTATTAAAAAAAAAATTTGACATGAAATGGCTCTGTTTTAAATTTACAGATCCGAATGAAATTTAATGCTTTAGAAATAATTATTTTTTATGAATTTATTGATTCTTGTTCTATCACACAAGCATACCCATAAAGGGATAAATAAACTCTCAACTCATTTTGGAATGGAAATAAAATTGATGAACTATATTCTTTAAATTTAAATTAATTTCAATTATCTTCCTTAGAGAATATTTTTTGCACATGAATTAGATCCATTGAAATTTACATTCATAATATTTTATATAGTTTTCGGTATATTCCATGATCCGGTCGTTCAAAACCTGTATTAATTCTTCATAGATGTTGGAAGACGTTACATTCCATAATTCATATAAAAAGGCGCTTTTGATTATATGTTTTTTATTAAAATAAATATTACTGTCGTCTGAGCATTTTCTCTTCTTTGAAGGGTTTTTTTCAGCAATAGATTTATTTTAAAACAGGTTTATGAAGTCCTTCCAAAGTAGGTATGATTTTTATTTTTATTTTTTTCATTCTGTGAATGATTTGAGTTAAATAAGAACTTATTCTCTTTTCAAATTATAACGCTTATACAGGTATCCAAGATGATCACGTGTCAAGATATATATTTATAATTAAAATCATTAATGTTCTTGTTATTATGTTTTTAAAACTCTTTATTTTTATTTATTTTTTTCCTTTTTTTGATGTATTGGTTAAGTTCCTCAGTACCAAGTATTTGAGTAAGTATTGGTAGATATTTGAGAACTCGGTACAGATTTTGCCCATATCTGGTCTATGGCCATGCTGTGTTTTTTACTACTAGATGACCCAACGCCCCTGCGAAACGCAATACCAGCAGTCTTGGCAGCGTTGGGGGCCTAACATACCCATAGCGCCTTATACTTAAGACCTCAATTTTATTCATCGAAAGTTTGAACAGAAAAAAATTAATGTTCCTTTAGTTATGATATAATATTAAGTTTTTAAAACAAGATTGAATATATATAAACATAATTTTTTTAAATAAACCTTTATAATATAAAGTAAGCTTTAATGTATTTGATGTATGTGTAGTGGTGTGAAAATGTCTTCGAACAAACAAATGTTTTATACAAATGATAAATGTTTCAATTTAAATGTGTTTTTATCTTCTTAATTATAAACTAATTTAACCAAGCCGACAATATAAATATAACATATGTTTAAATTAGTACTACTAATCCGTTTTGTTGAGTTTTTTTTTTAAACTTGAATAATATTTCACTACTTGATTATCCACTTCAATCGTTAATCTTTATTGCTGACATCAAGAGCCGTTGTATAAACTCTATGAAAGTGAATGTATATCTGAAAATTGTCCTAATATTGCAATTATATTATTTTTTCAGTAATTTAATTTAACATCCCCTATTCAAAAATTTCTTTTTTATTCTATTTAATGTTACTTTTATTTCAGAAAATGGTAAAATGCCATATCTTTTATCGTTATCTTGCTGAAAAGTATAGATCTGCCCAATCAGCTGAAGCCCAGATGGTATGAAAGGATGCTATTGTGCTGTTTTGCATTCATTTTTCCATCTATTCATTAGAGGTTTCCAAATCCAGATCTAGAAATACACCCCCAAACTATTAATAAACCATCTCTGTGATTTACTGTTGCTTTCAAACATTCATTTGTAAATTCCACTCCAAATATTCTTTAGCATACTGCTTCCTTCGGAATTCAAATATTTCGAATTTTGACTCATCTCTCAATAAAAAAATATTCCATTCTCCTTTCGTCCAATTTTCGTGTAATTTGCCAAACGTCAGTCGCTTTCACTTGTTTAGAGATAGAAAAAATAGTTTTATTCTGGCAACGCAATCTCTATGACCAAATGATAAGAGTTTCCGTCCGATCTAGGAGGACGAAACTTGGGTCATTGCAATTCTTTACTAGACTTTTACCGGTTGCGCGAACAAAATAATTTTAAATGGAGTTCAGCAACAGGACTGTGCTTTTTAGACCCGTTTGAATGTTTCTAGCCCCCAGTTTGCTTGTTTTTTAACAACTCATTGATGAGATAATTAATTTTAGAAGTAGTACCTTTAACTTCTTTTTGAAGTTCCTTCATTGTAACTCCTCATTGATACAAAATATAATTTTGTGTCAGTCAAAAATAATACAAGCACCAAAAATTAAATCCTGTATCAACAACAACAATTGCAACCATATACCCGGACGCTATTACACTAATCTAACAGACAATAAAATTAATATTTAAACCATTACTTTTTTTAATTTCTTTATAACGATCTAAGGGATTTAATTTGTTAGTTTGCTGCAATAATAATAATTATAACCTTTTTTTTTAGTTCTGGGCAAACAGCTGCCACAAATTAAATCGATTTTCTCAACAACTTGACTTCCTCATATTCTGCCTGCGACGTATTGTCATCAGTTAAATTAGTCTATGGATGTTTAGGCTCGAATCAAAATAAGTGTTCCATGTACTTAACTACTTAACGAATTCCTTATCGGTACATATAATATATTTTGAAAAAATATTTTACTTTGTAGTGTAAACATGAATGATTTTCAACCATGCAAAAATTAAAAGTACCTCATGGAAGTGATATAATATCAGATATGTCAGAAATTACTCTGCTTCGCTTGAACATCATATTTAAATATTTAAGCCGAGAAAAGCGAACTGATTAATAATGCAAAATTCTAGGTTCGCTGTCAGCTTTGATATGATGTAGGAGCAGTCATTTTTTTCTATTTCTCTAATCCGTGAAAGTGATTTCCTTTACGAGCATATCCATTTTAGAACTGAAAATATTAATATTATTTTTTTCATGCAGTGAGCAACCTTTAGATATAATCTTGTGTTCGGCAAGGTGACTATGTTTTTTGCAATATTTGTACTAGATGTATTTTAGTTTTTCACTTTATAGTTCCATCCCAGGACAAAATTCAACATACAATTGTAAATATAGTATTAAATAACTGTCTATATAATATTAAACGAATTTTAGTTTGTCAATATGTGCAGAAGATCAAACATTGAAACAAAAATACTGGCTAGTAAAATTATATCAGTATACATTTTATTATTTATTGTTAATTTATTTTATTTGGATACACACAGTGGATCGAGAAAGCGTTTTCTCGAGAGTAAAATAATAACAAAACTGTTTGGTTCGTTATATATGGAGAATTAAACTAATATGCATTTAATAGCATTGTATATAGGGAAACCATTGATTTTTCAACTGACAGCAAGAAAAACTCCAATCTCAAAAAGGAATGATAAGGGAAGATTAGAATGAGCAAATTTAAACAGGTAAAGCCAATTCCTCCCATAAAATAATTGGGAGGAGTATAATGTGAAAGATCAAAGTCACGTAGCAATGAAATGAATAGATAGATTAGATTAT